CCCCAAAACCCCAAAACCCCAATCAATGAAATTGAACTAAAGGTGAAATAATGAAATAATGATTAATTAGAGAGCGGTTCATTAAAAGTAGTATTCATTTTGGGATAATAAATTTTGCTAATCTTCCTCGTCTTAACATGACTGCAGTATATATCGTCAAACCTAGAACTCCAACATGCGACAAATTGCATAGTACGGATCCAACCATTCTTTATTTATTCAAAGCACCCTCAGGCATGAAATAGCCCTTGGTATAAAGCACTCTTCCGAGAAAATAAGTTGAGAGAAGTCCGATCGTTGGATAAGGATTGAAGAGACCTGTGACTAAACTTAATGGAATAATAGTGGTAATGTGCTCTAAATCATTTTAAATAACCCTCTTAGTGACGTTCATACTAATCAAAGATAATCAGTCAAAAATATAACTTACTAGTACCAGTCAGCATACTGTCTTCCCTGAGTGTATCTGCCATTTCCATCATCTGGATAGCCAAATTAAGCAGTATCATCTCCAATTTCCTTTTGATGCATATCATTGAATTTGAATTCCATGTAGTCGTTTTCATAGGTGAACTATCTTTGCATTCTCTCTAGATTCTACATCATTTAGCATGTCCCTGTAATGACTGCACAACCCAGTGTGACACCTCCATAAGCTTTCGATATTTTCATTTTATTATTGGTCTGTAATTTATTATTACTTGGATAATTATTTTAGTTAGCTCAACATCTACTTTGAACATTAGTTATTCATTATTAATTAATGGAAACATTTACTTAACACCCCTTGTTCTCAATATTAAAGGGAGGAGCTATAAATCAAAATTAGAATCAGCAATAAGCACTTGATGTAAAAGCATGCTTCCAAAATATTCCCATATTTCTAAGATGCCTGAATGCTAGTTAAACTCCAAGGTACTCAGTGGATGACAACTATCTAGGAGCAATTAGAAGTCTTATATAGGACTCAGGCACAGATCTTAGGAAGTAATGGCTTGGCTATTTTTTGATTGGAACTACTTTAGATACGAAACACTGTCTGGTTAAAGATATCAATACCATAAACAAGTAATTGAACACTTATTTGGCTTAGATTACAAACACTATTAACAAAAGTGAGTTAGGAGTTGGCAATGATATGATTGGAGTTGCAATTAAAGCCTGGACAGTACTTACCACTATTATATATCAGCATTATGATTAAAAAGCGCATGCAACCGCCCTTCAAGCTATCAAGCAAATAGTCTAAGTTCTCATGAAGAAGATTGATAAATCAGTCAAACTCATAGCTGATAAGTAGTTCAAGGTAGACTAAGATGATATTATTCAGGTTAGAATGGCTATCAAGTCAATTCTTTCTTGTGTCTAGATGTTTCCATCTTCACTCAAGAATATAGTGTCAAGCAAGGGAAATAATGCTTAAAAGGATCACATTACTGTTCTCATTGAAAACCTAGTCAAGCAAACCATGCAAAATGATACTGTGATAGCCGATTACTGTCTGCAACTTCTGTGCCTCCTCTTCAAGTCTAAGGAAAAATCTAAGCTGCAGTTTAGGGACTGGGTATCCCGCATTCTATAGAATTTAGTTATTTATGTGAACTCTCTTTAACCCAGATAGTTTGAGGATGTTCAAGGTGCAAACTAGGAGATCAACATGAATATTGCATTCGAATTCTTATTTGAAAGAGAAGATGCCAGCTAAATTAACAAATTATCAGTTAAAGACCTCAAAGATTAAATCTCCAACATTGGCAAGGTCTAAATGAAGATGCAGATGCTATTTAGAATGCTTGATTATACGTTTTAAGTTTAAAGAAGAACTCAGTAATATAGCTCTGAAGGAGTAAATTTTATGCAAGTTGAAGTAAACATCAATGAAATCATACTCACTCTTGGTAAAAATATTTTTATCCTCAAATGTTTTATAGAGAGCATAATGACCAGGTAAACTGGGCAAGTTAAGTCTTAAAAGCAGAAGTCTAATCAAATTTGTGGTCTTTAACATCACTAATTTGATGATATAATTGAATAGACTAAGGTTTTAGGCTTGAATTTCCTCAAAGTCTTAACGAAGTAGTTACCAGCTGAGATCTATCCATATCTTCCAAGACTTCTAGTTTTAATTCATAACTTGTTTTAAAATAGAATTAAAAATCAGTAAGTTGAACTTCCATCAACATTATAGGATTGATATTGAAAGCTACTTAGAAGTACTAGACATTCTGCAACACTTGCACAGCATCTATGGAGCAAATCTAGCATCAATAATTAAGGAAGTAGCTTTTGGAGAAAATGAAATGAATTTGTCTGATCTAATTTGTGATTTATTCATGCTAGTAGTCTCAAAAACAGATTAGACTTCTATTGATCTCTCTGATAAAACTACTCACACAACTTAGCTTATGGTAATTTCAATATATCTAACTATGTTTAGAAAGCTAATAAGTTTATTAAACACGATCACATTTCAAAGAAGCTCTTCTCATTGGGCGACTATGATTCTTACACTTTATAGTAATTCCTCCAGCATTTCCTCATATTCCTAATCAATCTTACCTCTAAGTCAACTACATTTGGACTTTTTAGTGACACTGACAGAGTAAAGCTAGAGTCTGTGTTGTTTACTATACTTAGTTTCTCTTAATTAAAGTACTTTAACATGACGAAGGAAATAAAGTTGAAGGTATTAGAGCTTACTAAGAATGTGATTATATCAAGATCAGTTAAGCTTCAATAGAATAACGACTTATTAGGCTGCCTTATATCTTATAGAAACAATGCAATGCATTTCTAGGGAGAAGATACTGATATTATTGCTAAAATTCACGAAGTAATTAGTGTTATTGATCCTCTCATCGCTCCAAGAAAGGATAAATATACTCTCTAGACAAATACTCAGTAGTATTTTTAGAACGAGCACAAAAGTATGTTTATTGAGTACAATAAGGAACTGTTAAGACATTATTTATTACCAAACAATGAATCCCAATAAGATATCTAGGCTCAGGAAAATCTAATTATTTAATAGTAGGTACCATAGATCTAATAACATATGGTAACCAAGTAAAATGCTAGCGATCTCAATTAGAAATAAAAAATAACCTAAGTAGAGGAAAATATTTAAAGTGATGATGATGAAATAGATAAAATTCCTGTAAAAAAATAATCTATCATTAAGTAAAGCAACATCTAGTCAGAAGTTGCCTAAAAACAACAAGAAAATCTTGCTTATGGAAGTGAGAGTGATGCTGAGCAAGATAATGAATTAGGGTTAGATTTACCTATGATAGTAGGAGATGAAGAGGATTCTGATTAGTGATTCAGGCTCTTGCCAATAATTAAAAGCAATTAATTAATTTTATTCAATGGCTCAATTGACTATTTAATTTTTCCATGGGGTTTTGGGGTTTTGGGGTTTTGGGG